GGAGGCGTCCGGCCTGGGCAGCGTGGACCCGCAGCTGCAGTGGCCCTGTGATCGCAGGCTCCGCTTTAGGCCCAGGCAAGGGACCCCTAGCTCCCAGGACTGCCTGCTTCGACCCTGCCCAGCTCCCATCGCTGGCTCCACCCTTACTTCCTGCTATCACTGGCCAGGGCGACAAAGGCACCCAATTCTCCGATAATGGCTGGGGGCAGGGCAAAGGCGGGCCCCCTGGGTTTCCTTCCGATCACTGTCAGTGGCAGGGGGCTTCTTCTTGCTTTCCCTTTCGCCTCCCTGCATTGTGCCTACATATGCAAATTAACCGCCATCTTGTTGGCAGTTAACTGCCAATCTTAGTTGGCAGTTAATTTGCATATAGCCCTGATTAGCCAATGAAAAGGGTAGCGTCATATGCCAATTACCATTTTTCTCTTTTATTAGTGTAGATTTTTCAAATGCTTGACATAGTGCCTTGGCCACTGTTCTCATATTAGTCATTTATTTCTATGATAGAATAAGAAGTGAGATTTTGGCTTTTGTACTAGCCTTTAGGAGGGTGCTTTATCCTTTTTTTTTTTGGCTTAATTTATGCTTTTGCAAATAGTGGTACACTTGGATTATGGACTATCTGGAAGGCTTCTGAGAACAACTACCCCAAAAGTTCAAGTAACACTCACTAATGGGCATGCTCTGCTCTTTGTTCTGATTTTCCCCTGCACTTGAGATCTGCCCCGGCTCTTTTGTAGCAGAATGCCTCCAACAACCAACTCAGATTTTGCTTATTTAAAATGGATAAAAGTATTTGTACTAGCTCAGGTACCATCTTACTTTGAAAATATGTAAAGTAATGGGAGTTTTTAGTGTTTCAGGATTTATTCACAAACCTTGAAATTCTGTGTAGAGCAACCGACCACTACTTTTTACTCAATTTGCTCTGCAAAGTAGAGTTTACTTTCCAGAGTCTCCTATCCTATTGCTTATCTTTGGAAATATATGTTAATTTTCCCATTTTCCTCTTACTGTTACTTTTAAGTATTCAGAGATCATAAAACATCCCTATCACCTAAGTGTAAAATTGATGAATGGATAATGCCAGTTTTTCAAAGTGGTTGTAACAATTCACACTCCCATCAGCAGTGTATGAGTTCCTTTTGCTCAACATCCTCACCAAAACTTGCTGTTGTCAAGAGTTTGAAATGTAAATGTGGTGGGCATATGATGGTATCTCGTTATGATTTTACTTTGCATTAATATGGTTAAAGACTATTTCCAAATATATGTATATTTTTGAACAGAGAGGAAGGGAGAGGGAGAGAAAAATAAATGATGTGAGAGCTGCCTCCAGCACACCCCCCACATGGGGATCGAGCCTGAAACCTTGTCATGTGCCCTGAACAGAAATCAAACCCACAACCTTTTGATGCACAGGATGACGCCCAACCAACTGAGCCACACCGACCAGGGCTTCAAATATTATTATTTTTAATCCTCATGAGAAGATATTTTTTCTATTGATTTTTAGAGAATGGAAGGAAGGGAGGGAGAAACCCTTCAGTCTGCGGGCCGATGCTCTATCCACTGAGCAACACTGGCTAGGGCCATTTTAATAAGTTTTAAGTGTAAAGAATGTCCTTATTCTTTAAAGATATTTCTGCTGTGTATAGAATTCTGGGTCAATGGCTATTTTATTTCAGTACATTGTAGTTACCATTCTTTTGTTAGTTGACCTCCATTGTTACTATTGAGAAATCAGCTGGCAATCTAATTGTCATTTATTTATAGGCTAGAGGCCTGCTGCACGAATTTGTGCACGGGTGGGGTCTGGCTGGCCTGCCCTGATCAGGGCTGATTGGGCCGGCCGGGGTGAGGGGCCATGGGCGGTTGGCTGGCTGGCTGGCCCTACCCCCTGGTCAAACTCCCAGTTGAACTCCCTGTCAAGGGGACAATTGCATATTAGCCTTTTATTATATAGGATAATATGTCTTCCCCCCCGCCCCCCCGACTGTTTTTTAGGATTTTCTGTGTCTGGTTGTCTTCACTTTATGTGATATGCTTTTTAAACAATTATTCTTGGAATTTGTGGGGTTTTTTAAATAAGAGGATTGAAGTCTTTCATCACTTTAAATATTGTCATTGTAACAGTCTCTGCCTTTGAATAAACATTTTTCACTCTATCATCTCTTATTCTCTGAAGCAGCTGTTTTTCTGTGCTGCATTTCTTCCATTTCAGCACTTCTTTCTTCAGGTAAATCTAGTCTCCTGTTGAATTCTTATATTCACTATTATGGAAGTTGTATCCACTCTACAGCTCAGGAAACTGAGACTAGGTGAGGTTGGGTAACTTCCCTAAGGTTACCAGCTTGTGAGTAACAGTAGGCAGGAACAGTCGGCTCTGACTGACTGCAGAGCCCAGGCTCCTGGCTAACATGTCTTATTGTCTCCCAGTGAACACTAATCTATGGTTTTTCTGAGTACTTTTTAGATAGTTACTTACAACCTCACATGTTATTTTTTCAGCCTATACTTTCTAAAACTTGAGATCTCAGATTTCTTTTTGATTTGCAGTGTTTTTATTGTTCTAGCCTTGCTTTGCCAAATTCATTTCCAGTTTCTTTTGGTCACTTTCTACAAATACCTGCTGACAATTTTTCACTGAGTTTCCCACAAATTCCCATTAAAAAAAATCCTGCAATAGTGATTAAAACAAAGGTTCATTTGGAGCTCCGTGAATGCAATCATGTATTTGTTTTATTTGTAGGTATGCTTTTTAAAGTATTTTTATCTTTATGTATAATTGCTTTTATTTTTAGGTATGATAAGTAGAAAATGCCATAGAGATTATCATTGATCTCAGAAACTGTAATAAGGAATTTATCAAGTGAGTGTTCTGTATGGAAAATTTGAGAGTGCTGCAGCACGTTTTTAAGGTTGAAGTAGCTCCTGTGTGAGCAGGATGATGGAATTCAGCCATTCATCATTCTGACTTCTCACACATCTCCTGGATCTGCCTTCAGGGAATCCTGTCTGGGGTCTAGCAAATGTAATAGACAGATGGGCCATGACTCAGCGTTTGTGTTATCCAGGAGCTTGATTCTGATTCTTACATCTAGAAGAGAGTTTCTATAAATTTTTATAGGAAATGTAGCTTTTTAAAAAAGCCAGTATTTGTGAACTGCTTATGTACCAGAGGAGGAAACTAAATAGTCCTATGTTTGAAATGTCATAAACATTTTTTATCATGATTAAGAGAGGAATCAGTTAAAATGGCTCTTTAATATATGGGTGTGGTTTATTACTAGAGGCCTGGTGCACAAAATGCGTGCACGGATGCAGTCCCTAGGCTAGGCCGGCATCTGGAGTGGAAGGGCAGGTCCCAGCTGACCTCTGGGCCCTGAGAAGCACCTAGGCCTCCGCCCAGCTCCCTTGGTGCCTGGTAGCCCCCTGCCGCCGCCGTATGTGGGGCGATTGGCAGGGTGATTGGGCCTTGCTCGCACCTGCCTTGGCCTGGCACTGCCCTCTCAGCTGCTCCACCATCACTCAGCTGTCCCGCTCTCGTCGGGGCCCATCAGGGCCGGCAGCGCCTCCACTGCCGCCCGCAGTCAGTGCCACATCAC